AAAACCGCACGAAGATCGATCAATTTTTTCAAGAAAAACAGGTCTTCGAAATAGAGTCAAATTATGAGTTGTCCATTTAGTGTGTTGAGAACTGTATATATACTAGTTGCCTCCCTAATGATGTGATACTTAGATTTGGTGAAATGAAAGAATACTAAATCTAAATAATTCGAATACGACTGGACCAAAATATTGATTGATTGATTGATTGCGAGCACAGAAATGGTGTATTAGTTTCCTATTTTTGAGGAATTCAAAATCAATCCGACGTTATTCGTGATGAATTATTCGTACTTAATCCCCTATAGAAAGCCCCAAATGAAACTGAATGGCTATATTAACGCATATCGATCGAGGTGAACTTTTTCAAAATTAGGTCCTAATTCGCAGGAATATTGCGACATGATGACGCATGGTATATTGTGCAGTGCCAGTGCATTCACCAAGTAAGTTCGAGACAGTATGGAAACTTTCCCAACATGTAGGTTTATTATGGATGACGGCATATTATTAAAATTGAGGACACATTTTTTTATATTTTTCAACATTTTTTCAGTTCAAATTTGAATTATTTCTACCGATTCTGGTGTGGACGACCTGATGATGGTAACCTTCCGTGGATCACCCTATATATTTTCGAAAGATATTTCGATGTTATTTGACCGTATCACCAATCTATCCGATCATATACCTCGTATTCCGATCATATAGTAATCGTATACAATACCTTATCAAAAACTCAATTACATTCTTTTCAATCTTCGCATCCATTGTTCCCTTCAATCAGATATAGAACGGTCCAGTTTCAGAATGATGAAGGTTTTCTATTACTTTCATTACAATATACTCTAAATCTCATGGTGGAACAGTGCAGTGCTGACTGGGGTAAATTTTATTTTCTGAAAGACGATGATAATGTGAAATGTATATCTAGTGATTCGATACCAGCTCACAAAAATATTTAACGTGGATTTACGCGCACCGCTTTTTCATTTCTTTCCTTTCATTAAATTCATTTTTATTTAAGGACTTTTAAACCTTCATGCACTACCTTTTCACCCGATGAAAAATTTGTGTTCTTACCTTCACTGCTCACATTATTACAATAATAATCATTCATTCATATTGTTTTCGAAGTCTAATTGGAACATACGACTTGAATCTTCAGGATTTTCAACCACATTTTGGAAAACAAAAATTGTTTGACTCCTGACAGAATCGCGCCTGCGCAAGTCACAGTTATATTTGTATTTGTCCTTATGTAAGAGACAAAACTTGGTCACCTTTTAGCGAATAGTTAATAGAAGATGAAATTTAATTCAGGAGTATAAATGAATAAACGGAATTACCAAGTTTTAACTCATTATAGTGAAATCGTTAATCATTGTATAGTTAGTCTATTTGAGATAATTCATATTCCTCTGATGGAAGGGTTTCTTTTTTGAAAAGCTGTTGATTTTCACAAAAATATGTATTTCCAGGGTATATAACTTGGATGCAAATTTGGAATTTGATTATTATAGAGTCCTGCCAAATGGACGTACAAATTTCAGTCAGTCATATTTTAGACCAAGAAAGGCAGAACTCAGTATGCCTGATATAACAACGTCTGGTATATATACCACCATTCCAACCAAGTCCACTACATTATCTATGCTTGGTATTGCCATCAGCAATACTCTTTCATGGAAAAATCATATCCTATCCATCGCAGAAGCTGCTTCACAAAAACTCGGATTTTTATTCCCTGCGAAAATCTCGAGGAAAATCTTCTTTACATACCTCAATAGCTTCTCATGATCTACAGAACACATCAGATATGGCCTGTTCTAGAATACTATTTCTCTTAGATTCCATCCAGAGAAGAGCCATTCGCCTGGTGGGTGATGCCACACTCACTAATCCTTTTACCTCATCAGAACACCGTAGAAAAGTCGGCAAACTTTTACTTTTCAATAGAGACTGCCACGGGAATGTTCCTCAGAAAGCTCTGCTATCATTCCATCACTAGCAATACCAGTCAGACTAACTCAACAAGCCCAGTCAGTACATCCCTTCTTTTTCAACCTTGATATATATGTCGAACAACACTTAACCAAAACTCGTTCGTCAAGAAAAAATCCAACACCTTTTATTATAGGGATAAAAAAAACTCTGAAATAATTTGATGTTACGCCACTGATTCATTGGGATAGGGTGAAGAAGTCGAGAAAATATCGTATAGTAGTCCAAAATAGAGTTACGGCAAATAATCGAACGACCATTTTAAAATTGCAACTGGCCTGATAAAAGCAATTGATTCCATTATGGAGTCCGATGCCGCTGTAGATTCAAATGGATTTTTATTCCCAATGTAGGTTATTTGCTTTTTATAGAATAGCTAACACTGGCTTATAGGCGGATTTGAAAAGAATACGAATTAGATCGAGTTCACAGGAAATTGAAAACCATTTTATATACCTTATAGAGGTAGAAAAAAGCTATACGGGTGTGTTGCACCCAGCGAAATAATTATAAATAATTTGATTTCGAAAAAAAATCATGCGATACACGACCCTCCTCCTTCTGTCAGTATCTCATTATTCCTATATACAGGGTGGCATTGAAATAAGTGCAAATATTTCAAACACTAAGTAAGCTCGACGTGTACTATCGAATGGCAAAAAAAATTTGGGATCAAAATAAAATTTGAGGTTAGACCCTTTTTTCCACCCAAAGTTCTACACTGTAGCAAATAAGACGTCACCTCTGTTCAAATTTCCATGCGGTAGGCACAATCACGCGGAGTTCAATCTTTCAAATTGTTTTAACGTGGCGTACGTATTTTGTTCAATTTTTGGAAAGACATTTCTCGTTGATTAGAAAAATTAGAGAAAATCTGATGTCATGGGAATATTCCTTAGACTGTATCATATTAATGTGCTGAATATGTGCACTTATTCCAAAAACACCTTGTACATTATATCAATTATAATTAACAAAAAACATAAGGACAAGTTTCAGTATGTTTTCATGTTACCAAAAACTCTTATTCATTCAAGAGTTCAGTACTTGGATGCCGAATTATAATATTATACTATAATTTGAATGTTCCCTCTTTCAGTTATTTTCATATATTTATAATTTAATTTCGGTCTAGACATTTTAATGTGAATTCCACTTTTCATTGTTCGCAGTTTTTATTGTCTAGAGATTACTAATTGTAGATGTAGTTAGTACGATTCGCCTGCGACGGTAAAAACGTGAAATATGCGAAAAGTTTCAAATTATGAATACGAAATAGTAGTTTCATACGAAGCGCAGGAATGATATATCATTCGTATTTATTTTCATACGAACTCATATAGCGCAAAAGTTAGTACAACAGTTCATAACATTGGGTTGGCAATTTGGTGATTATGATGACGACACAATGTGGATGCATTCATCAAGAAAGTTGAACTAGAAAAACGCGTTTTGGTAAAGAGCCCTAATTAACATGGGTTCTGAAACAGCATTTCATTTTGGTGGTGATATTTGGGAGAAAACTATGCCGCTTCAGAATTTCTTGAAAGATGTCTCTAGAACAGATCTGAAGAAAATATTTTCAAAAAATAACTCTGACGGGCTAAAAATGTTGGCATAGCAGTCAAATTCATAAAAATTGTGCATTTTGTGATATAAGCATTACACCATAGCTCTTACATAATATGATCCTGATATTACGATATTGGGACACTTTATATTCCATTAGGAAATTGTATTTTCAATTGTCCATTCTATCAAATTTGTATTTTCAATTGCTCAATCTTAAAAATATATAGAACTTGTCCAGTGATATTTACCATGAATATTGTTATGCTATAACCCTCATCGACCTCACAGGAATTACTATTTTGAATTCAATCACACCAGAAGAAGCTCCAAGATTGGGGAAAAATTGAGATTGTTTCAACTTTAGGAATTTTTTTTGTCGAAACTATTCATTATTGGACAAAACGGTTTTCATGTCCCAATCTCAACTTTCGATCTACAATCTACTAACATTCAATTGGGACACATACAGGGTGATCAGAATTCTGAATTTTGAACCACCCTGTATTCGTTTCAATTAAATGTCAGTAGATAATAAATCGAACCCTGAGATAGGGACATGAAAACAGTTTTGGCCAATAATCGACACAAAAAATTCCAAAAGTTGAAAAAATCTCAATTTTTCACACTATATATCTCTCTGTAATCATCTCAGTTAGGCCCCAACTGTGATAAATCGATGAAATCAGCTCTTCAGGGAGAATCTAAAAATGCAATAAAATACAGGGTGCTCCATTTAAAAATGTATACATCTTGTCCATAACTTGTTTTTGAGATGTACAATTGTTTTTCCGTTAAAATATTCAAAATCTACAGGAAAAATTATGAAAAACTGATCTTTGAAGAAAAAAAATCGGTGATAAATAGAATAGTCAAGGGGGGGTTCAAATAATACGTGAAGACCCTGTACCTCAAATTTCATGAGATACGATATTACGTGAGATGACCCACCATATGAAAATTGATTGCTGCATCATTGCAACCTGTAGAAATTTAAATGAACCGATTATTCACAACAACTCCCCCAAACGCCCTCACCAAATCAGAATCAGAATCTATCAATCCTAACCAAACTTTTGACGCGATGTATTTGACGGCGACCACCTCTTCTATTTCCTGCCTCTTCCCCCCCCCACACCGAGACGGCGTCGGAATGCTCCTGAACGCGCGTCGCGAAAGCTCGCGTAGCGCCAAAGCCAAAGCTCAGCGAAAGCTCTGTCCACACTACACTAGGGCTTCAAGCTCCAACTCAAAACTCAACGGTTCATTCAGAGTTGAAAGCTTGCCGTAGCCAGACGCACGCTGCTTTCCTAAACATAAACATTGCGGTTAACACGCTTACGTAGATTGTTTATTTTGTTGTTGAGATAGGTTGGAGATTGATAAGCGCGGAAAGACTCGAAACGTTTAAGGATTTTGTTGATTTTGTTGTCACTTTGGTTATCGGATTCGGACAGTGCTAGTTTGGTCACAGTATAAGGTTATATACTACTGTGGTTCGGTGGTTCCAGTGGTTGGTTGGAGGACTTGAATTTGTGTAGGCTGGGCAGCAAGAAGGCTTCAAAATTAAAGCGGTAAGTTGATGTTTTTTTTTCTCGAAGAATTGTCTGGGATGTCACATGGACGGAGCATAAAAACAACAAAGATTAATCTTATCTGGACTTCTTTCTTCATAGTCACAGTGGGTCACTGATAGATTCGTAAAATACTGATTTTCCGATTTTGAGAATCATAACGATGCGTAGGTATATTATTTTAGAATTCCTGCACGGCATAACAGACCATGCAGGTCTAAAATTCGACCGAAAAAATCTGCTTGAGTGTTATTCGGTAAGACAATTTAATGAATACGTAAATCACATTATTGTTGATGGTTTTTCAATTTCTCCACTCGAAAACTCTCCAAATCGCGACATTTCCACAGATTAGATACTTTCCTGACAAAGCGAATTTGGTAAAAAATAACATAAAAACCATCAAAGATTTGTTTACAGTTTTGATTGTCATACATTCGAATGTTAAATTTCCGTTCTGTTGCTGGAAAAGTTAGGGTAAAACGGGGTAAAATGTGTTCGCTGTCATAATGACAAAATCACAACGGCTCACGGGATGTTATGTACATGAATTAAATTTTCACAATAAAATAATACATTACACACTGCAGTTTTGTCATTTTTTAGCGTATAATGGCCTCGGCTGACGCCTACATTAAGCCCCTGATACATAAATAACTATTTTCGAAGATATTAATGATATGAAAGCTTCCACGTGATCTTGGGACAGACAGTTTCATACTCTAGTCAAAGCTAATTTTAATTTAGAAAAGTACTCCTTACATAGTTACATGCAACTTGTGAAATAGACACGCGAGTAGACACGTCAATGAATATCTTAATACCTTTTCTAGATCAGGGTAGAATAAACATGCGCTTATATGAAATTCAAAATTTCTACCAAATATCGGGTATAAAATAAATCTCTAACAGGCTTCGATCGCCCGAAGAACCAGTCCGGCCCTGACCCTCAATGTCAACCCTACGAGAGCACGGAATTTAAACTGTAAACAAATACCATTTGTGATATATTTTTGAAATCCGATTTCCATGGAAATTTCAAAAATTCAATGATATATAGAACAAAATTGTCGTGAACGTCATTACTCTAATGTGGACCACCCTGTACTTATATTTGATTTTCCTTTGTAAATGTGGCATATATATTGAAATTGAAAATCGAACTGTTTCTGTAGGTTCCTCAGAAATGGATAGTGTCTAGAAATTAATGTATTCAGTACTTTACGCAAGCACTGTAGATCGAGCTGTAGATGTACCACATATTCTGCAAATCATAAACTGTTGAGCAACGTATATTTTTATATAAAACGCGCAAGATAAAAATTTTGTAATATCATACGACGCGCTATACTGAAATGTTGAATGTTAATTTATGAATTATGTGGAATTTATTGCACATATTATATTGGTACCCATATTATTTTATTGTGTTTTTTATAATGATCTTCTCTTGTTCTCTTCTATAGAATGTGTCGGCCATAATGATTTATGTAAGCGAGTTGGTATTTAGCGAGGTATAAAGTATACGTTTTTTTATCTCTTCTAACGTAGGTGTGCGTACAACTCGGTGTGCAAGCTATTCCTACCCTCAGTACATTTTCTAGATCTAGGTCTAGAGGTTCGGGTATACCGGGTGGCTACGGAAGTATTGCCTACGGAATATCTCAGTTATTGTATGAAGTAGGTTTGTGAAATTTGGAGCGTCGATATAATGACATAAGAGCTAGAATTTGAGCATATTGACATGTCGAAGTTAACTTCCGGTCTGACCGGAAGTAACATCAACTTTCTTATTTTAAATGAAAACCCTATTTTTTTTTTTCGCTTTATTCAGCATCCAATTCCCTTTCTAATGACATATCATAAGTTGGTATCTAACCAGAAACTAGATCAGAAAAAAATTATTATTGAAATTCACCATTCACCGAGTAGGCCGTGGAAGCCTCGGTAGAAGCAAAATGGAAGCCAAAAATTGAAAAGTTGGCTATGGAAACCATACGTCACTTGATAACAGTTGCTACTACTGTGATATTTTATTTTCATTCGTCGGCGTTATGAAAAGCCGCCAAAAAAAATATCGGAAAAATTGGGAAAAAAACAATACTCTCTGTAGGTCCGTGTAGGTCCTAACTTGAATAGGAACATACAACTTTTTCTTGCCTGTACTATTCAGCATAACCATTCCTTTCTAATGATATAATTGAAAGTCATTTTTTTGGCTTCCATTTTGCTTCCACGGCCTACTCGGTGAATTTCAATAATAATTTTTTTCTGATCTAGTTTCTGGTTAGATACCAACTTGTGATATGTCATTAGAAAGGGAATTGAATGCTGAATAAAGCGAACAGAAAAAAAAATAGGGTTTCCATTTAAAATAAGAAAGTTGATGTTACTTCCGGTCAGACCGGAAGTTAACTTCGACATGTCAATATGCTCAAATTCTAGCTCTTATGTCATTATATCGACGCTCCAAATTTCACGAACCTACTTCATACAAAAACTGAGATATTCCGTAGGCAATACTGCCGTAGCCACCCGGTATACCAAAAAAATGCACATATATTTTTGAATGATTAATTCATTGTAAATTAAATTAATGAACACTTGTATCGAAACACGAATTTTATATTATCAGTTAGTCTGCCTGCAAGAAAGTGGAAAAAATTTGGTTGAATTCAATTTTTATAGTTCTTTGCGAATATGGAATCGAATTAAAAAAATTCGAATATACCTACCTATACATTATCAAGGTATTGTTTCGATGGTAGAAGAATTCTGATCTGAGGACTAACCGGACCTCGAGCCGGACCTTTTACATCCTGATTCGAAACGCTTTTGTACATTCACGTGTATTTCGTCTAAATTTTGAGAAATATGAATGATGGTTTGATGATTTCGAATCAAGAAATTGGAACGATAAGAAAACACCCAATAGCCATTAAATATAAGTTATTATATATATTATATTTAGAGGGATATTTGCTGGGGTAACGCCTCGTTGACTCTGTCTCCCAATGATACATCCTGTATAATACGTGCCAATGAAACTACAAAATAATGATTAAGTAACCGAGTCATAAATCGTGAGCTTTTTTTCCAAAATCAACTCTTAATAATTAAAGTTGATGTATCTCTTATAATGATCCAATAAAATGATCAATATGTATATATGTTGCTAGGCGAAACTTTCACTGTCTAAAAGCTAAAGTTGAAGTTCAACTCCTATAGGAACTGAAAATTAGTCAATTGACGTCTGATATAGGAATTGCAAAATCTACTAAATATGGTAAATGGTAGTTACTTCATGTACTTGTCAAACAAAGTGTCACTTTGGACCATGCTACGAGACAATCTAATATGTGTTCGAGTGTGTTACTATTTTAAAGAGAAATCGTTTGATCGACTACAAACAGAAACATGAACATTTTCATACATATATCCGAGATATATCATGACTTGGAGCACCGAACATAAACAGTGCCTGGAGTAATCTTTTAATGTTTCTCCCTTCATCATTATTATCTCTCTAATGATATTTTTATCTGACAAATTATATCCTGGCTATACCAATAATTGGAAACATGATCTGATTATATCGGTATTGCGGGTATTCGAATTACTAATTAATGTAGAAAAAATCTTTTTAAATCCCAAACTGAAATGAAGACGTCATTCGGTATCTAATCGTCTTTGATAAACTAATTCCGTCCATAAACATTGATAGGAGAAAAGTGAAACATCCTCAAAATTACAAAATAAAGTAATCAACACTTGAAGACGGGTATTCTCGAAAATAATATGTACTTTGCCTACAACGCGGCAAACATTTTGAGGACACTTGACGATTCTCGCAGGTACGGCCAGCCGACCAGGAAGGAGTGGGCTGGCTTGTAATTATACAGTGAGGACGTAAAGAGTCCTCCCCCTCCTTTAACCTGTTACGTAACTTTCGAACAGCGGTGGTAGCGAGTCCAAGTATGCTCCGACTATACTCAATGGAGTCGGGTGTGAGTACTGGAGTGTACGAATTACAAAAGATGAGAAATGATAAGCAAGGGCGCCAAGTGATTTATGAACATACCGGTATAAGATAAAATCACTAAACCTCATATAGCCATGAATAGTTACAAAAGTGTTAACCCCAAATAATTCTTATTGAAAAAAAAGAATGCAGTAAAATACTAACAGATTTTAATGAATGAAATTCAAGCGGTTGATGTCAACTTAGAAATTATCATTATCAATCTATAGGGGCCCCGTATGAATATTCAAAATTCTCCTAATCAACAAAACAATAATCTTATATCTAATACTAAGTTATCTAGATGCTATAATGAACAAAGTCAGTACGTTCAACAAATACTGAACGGTAGAGAGGTGAAATATTTCGAATCATACAGCCGCAATCTCCAAATTTCGCAGAATGACAGCGATACTCTTTATCGGTACTTAAGTAGACGATCAAGTTAAAGAAAATGTCCACTATGTGGTACTTATCACTGCGCTGATCCCTCCGGAAGAATTGATTCCGGTAATGGTATCTGCGCCCCTCGCCGACCTAATAATTAGAGGGAACGTCGATGTTGTTGATGATTTTCTCCGATATCATGAGACACTCATGTTCCTCTAGCTTGCCCACGAGATAAACCGAAACTCTCGGATACAAAACGTCTGTAATAACAATAATACCATATCAATAATTCAATAGAATAGTCTAGGCCTGAGTATAAACGCTACTTTACATCCTTGGAACTAAAATAAACTCACCTCGAGTACGAAATCCCTATGACACTCCGAGACGTTTTATTAAACTGACCAAAACGATGAATTATCTGATCCACTACTTAAATGAAAATCACGCCGAATTTATATACACCTAATTTAAACCAAACAAATAAATTCGGCTTATATGGTAAACTAGTGAAAAATCCGTTTTCAAACGAAATGCACGTTGCTTCACTGTCACCTTTTTAAATTCCCAACAAACACCGTTCCTAGAC